GAAACTGTTTTGGAGCGCGTCCAAAGTTTACACGTTGCCATAACGGCACACTCTCCCGTTTGCCTTTCAGAGCGTCTTTCCTGCTCAGTTACCGGTGGAGAACAAGAACACAACGATCTTGGTTACCTGGTTACCTCATGTTTATTACCTTATGTAGGGGCTACGTGTTGTGTAATAGAACTCCGTTCTCAACCCTTGGATTTCTTCCGTGCTTGCGGGTTACAAAGTGGCGACCCTTCCAAGTCACAAGAATCCGGAATCCACCATCATTTGTCTAATGAAGATCATGCCGAAAATGAACGACAAGGCTGATGAAGAAAGCCATTCTGATGTCGTTGACCCCACGCCTAGAATTTCCGCTCCATTGGATGTTTTGTCCCGTACTTTGAAAAAATTGTCAACAGGCTCGAATTCGTCTGTCTGCATGCATGCAATCCCTCCTCCGGAACGTTACACTCTCCGGATGCCATACTCCAGATGGGAGAAGCAAGTCCAGCTTTACCTCCGTTAGTTTCCAGTCAACCAACATTTAGGCGGGCTCGCCGGCATGCTGTCTGGGAATGCTTTTGATATCGTTGCTGATAGTAACATTCTGGAGATAGAAGTCATGACTGAGATTTTCTCTGCCTTGCGCACCCTACTGGACCCTCCTGCTTTACCTGCACCCCTACGCAGAGAATTCCACTTTCGATACCAGTGGCCCGAAGGGAGCACTGAGACGGACGTGCGCGAACTTCGAAAGATGGTCGACATCGCGTACGAACGACAGTCATCAAATGAGCGCGATAACCAAATACTACAGCAACTTCTAGAAGGAATCCAAACACCATCCATTAAACGTGAATTCCTTCTGCACCCCCCGAGTAGTTGGATGCAGCCCTACGGATTGGTGAACAACTGGAGCAGGTCGACAGAGCAATGGCTACGCCAACTTCCGGGTGCTTCGTGTTGCGGGGAACCAGACGCCACAGACGTGTGTCAACGGAACGGTTTACGTGGCATCCTAACTATCGTCAAAGATATTCAGGCTCACGGCTACCAACGCAACCTGGTTCTCCGGGGCCCCGCCGATAAACCCGAGCCGCGGATAATCTCGCAACAATAACGGACTCCCAGGTGAGTGACCCCGGTGGCTTTCACGCTTTATGCCAACAATTGTTTGTGCCCGGGGCCACACGATCAGAATTACCAATAGAATTACAGGTCGCACGTGTGCCGTCAATAGGTCTCCTCGACACAGGTGCATGTAAGAGCCTAATCAGACCTAACTTGACTAACCAGCTAGCAGATCGCGTATGCGCGCCTTGTCGCTGCCGACTAAATGCCGCCAATGGAGAATTGTTGTCGTTTCGAGGACCCCTAACCGCACAAGTTGAAGTCGCAACACAGAGCTTCACCCAGGAGTTTATTGTTGCGGACCCAATTCCGTTTGCTGTTATTGTTGGGATGGATCTGTTGTGCCGGTTGAAGTGTCGATTGGATCTGGACTGGTGCCGACTAATCACTGCTAAGTGTGCAGTACTGTAAGCCCCTGTGAAAGTGTTGCTTTGGAAGCTTCTACAACCTATGAGGACAACTTAGACAGTGAGAAATACATTAACGCCCTTATTCGCTCACTCGACCGAGTCACGGATGAGCAGACAGTGAAGCGGCTCAATGACGTGTTGCGCAACCACTCAGACGCATTTGCTTGGCGAAGTACCAGTTTGGGTCCAACCCATCTCGTGAAACACCGTATCCACACCGGTGCCTCAACACCGATCAAACTTCCCGCAAGACGTATACCATTACATCGGCAGAATGAGTAGCAAAAACTCATAGATACGATGCTAGAAAAGAAGGTAATACGGCCCTCTACTTCACCATGGGCAGCCCCGGTTGTTCTAGTGAAGAAGAAGAAGAAGGATGGTGGTTTTCGCCTGTGTCCACTATAGACGATTAAATGAGATTACTCTGATAGACGCATTCCCCTACCAAGGATCGATGATCTGTTTGACGCACTGGGAGGATCAGTTTATTTCAGTACGTTAGGTTTGGCTTTCGGCTGCTGGCAAGTAGAAGTAAAGGAAAGCGACAGAGCAAAAGCGGCGTTTGTAGTACCATCAGGTTTGTATGAGTTCTAGACCGTGCCTTTTTGTCTCTCTAACGCCCCTGAGACTATTCAACGTCTGATGCAAAAAGTGTTACACTAATTGATGCCCCAAAAGAGTCTCGTTTATCTGGACGATGTTATTTTAAACGGAAAAGCAAAAGACGAGCACCTAAACAACTTGGCGGAGGTGCTAAAGCGTCTAGTAAATGTGGACCTCAAACACCATCCAACAAAGTGCCATTTACTACAGACAGAGTTAACATATCTTGGGCACATCATTTCTGGGATGAGAATTCGAAATGAGACTCGTAAGACGGAGAAAGTGAGATTATGGCCAACCCCTGCCAACGTTGATGAACTACACAGTTTTTAGGGTTAGCCTCATACTATCGGCGATTCGTGAAAGCGTTCTCAGAGATCGCTGCGCCCTTAAATACTTTGTTACAGGAAGGTCAAAACTTCGAATGTACCGTCGAGTGTCGAAATTCCTTCGATCGGTTACGAGCATTCCTTTGTGCAGCTCCGGTGTTGGTTTTTCCCGACCTGTCACCAAATGCAGGGGAGTTTATTCTAGTCACGCACGCCAGCGAATAGGCGATTGGAGCTGTTTTGTCGCAGAAAGTGCAGGACGGAACACAACGAGTGGTGTCTTACAGCAGTATGAGTCTCAGTGCAAGAGAACGGAACTACTGCACAACCAAAAAGAAAATGCTAGCCCTAGTATTCTATGCAAAACAAAACCGACACTACCTAATAGGAAGGAAGTTTCTGATACGAACTGATCATCAGTCATTTCGTTGGTTACCGAATTTCAGAGACCCCGAGGGACAGAGCGCCAGATGGCAGGAACAACCCCAGGAGTAGGATGTTGTGTGCAGACACCGACCTGGTGCACAGCACGACAACGCAAATCCCCTCTCCAGACTGTCTACCCGTGCTCATGGAGGCTGCCCGTCTTGTACTACACAACACGTAGCTCTAGTTAACCTTCAAAGTTCGGAGTACGGTTGTTGGCAGGAGGCACAGGCAGTGGACCGAGACGTATCACCGATCTATGACAAACGACGCTTGGGGAGTGACAAACCTACCGCAAAGGAAATGGAAGGAAAAGTTACGAAGTTCAATGCTTATGCGCGATATGGAACAACCTCTCTATCGAGGAAGGTGTGTTGGGGATTGATTTTGGCCCAAACCATATCAGGAGAATCATAGTTCCGCGATCATTGGTTCCCGAAGTGTTATCTGAACTGGCCGAACAGCTGAGTCATGCTGAAAGCACCAAACTTGAAGCGGCAGCATGTCAACGATTTTGGTGGTCACACCAACGGGGAGGCGTCAGTAACTTTTGCCAGACCTGTGAGGCATGCGCCACATTCAAGAACCCGACCATCACCCAGAGAGCACCAATGAAGCTTATGCATGCAGGCTACCCGACCGAGATTGTGGAGGTAGATCTTGTTGGTCACCTACCAGAAGCATCACGTGGGCAACGGCACATCTTGGTCTTGGTCGACTATTTCACTAAGTGGTGCGATCACTTCCGATCGTCCAAGCCGATACAGTCAACGTAACAACGGCGATGGTGAATCACTGGGTGTGGCACTGGGGAGCACCGGGGAAGCTACACTCTGATAGGGGTTCATGTTTCGAGAGTTTGTTGGTGCAGGAACTTTGTCGCGTGTTCGGTATAGACAAGACACGAACGACGGCTAAGCACCCGCAAGGCAACGGACAAGTTGAACGTACTATTCGGTCGCTGCAATCGTTACTGAAGGCCTTTATGGATCCAAATGTAAGTGAGTGGGAAGCTATGTTACCAACAGGCTTGCTGGCATATCGGAGCACAGTGCACGCTTCTGCTGATCAAACACCATTTTTTATGTGGACCAGAAGAGAAGTCCGATTAACGTCTGACCTTCGACTAACCAGTCCGCAACAGCCACATTCATTGGTGACAGAGTATGTTAGCAAACTCCTTGATTCGCTTCATCAAACACATCAAGCGGCACGTCTCCATCTTGAGAACGCCCATCGAAGACAGAAAGGCTACTACACCAAGGAAGATTTCGGCGCTCCTTTGAAGGCTGGTGACCAAGTTTACTTGCACTAGGTACCAACGGTTGGAGCTCCGGTTAAGCTACACCGCGAGTAGACAGGGTCATTCATAATACAGCGGGTGATATCGTATATGACATGTGTTATCAAAGATCCAAACCACCCCGCCAGTAAACCCATGATAGTACATTTCAATCGACTGAAGCCATTCCGGAGTTAAACTGGCCAATCTGTCGGGGGGGGGGGCGAACGAAACGCCTGGGAAAATAGCAGTTGAACTGGAGGTGCCGGCTCAGGGCGGCTATGGAGCGGCAACGGGGACGCTGCCAAAATAGAGGGGGTATGGTGTAGAGAAGAATCGAAACTGTTTTGGAGCGCGTCCAAAGTTTACACGTTGCCATAACGGCACACTCTCCCGTTTGCCTTTCAGAGCGCCTTTCCAGCTCCATTACCAGAGGAGAACAAGAACACAACGACTGTAACGTGCTTTGTTCCAATTTACCTTATGTTTATTACCTTTTGTAGGGTCTACGTGTCGCGTAATAGAACTTCGTTCTCAACGCTTGGATTTCTTCCGTGTTTGCTAGTTACACATACTCTAGCTCTATGTGTTCAGGGATCTACCAAGCGACTGCATGCTCAGCGGCGTTACTGTCTCGTGAATCAGCACGGTAGCATTTTTGTGTGTAGGCTTGTTGGCCATGAATAGCGAGAATTCGCGCCCAGGATAAAACGATAACCCAGTATTCAATGAGCTCAATGAACCGTTTGATTTACATCCACGTAGTACTACGATAAACAGAACGAAATAAATTAAAAATTCGCAAACACATAAATTTTACGTTTGAAGTCGCTTTTCTTTGAATGTGTCATGTGTAGGTCGTATCATTTTGCGCGGGTATTCGCTGCAACCTACCTGAGTGTTTGTGGCAGGCTTGGAGGTAAGATTCCGCCCTGCGTAGTCTATATTGTATTTGTCTGTTCCCCTACTATTCGCCTTCCCATTTCGTATTTTTTATCGTTAGGATGGCCTTTCTACATGCATGTTTTCACTCCAGTCACCTCACGTTCAGTCCTCCATCGGCAGCTGGCAACGCCGTCCAGTTCGCCACCTGTAAGAAAGGAACAACCTTTACTCAGCTGATTTACTAGGCGGTTGTGATGTAACTGTCTAGACATCCATGAATAACCTCTTGCTTTTCAGCCTTTTCAATCTAATACAACCCACGTACTCCCTTTACACGGAAGCCCTCGGAACCCTCAACCGGACGCGTACTACGGTCACTTCAGCTGACATATTCGGTGACAATGCCTGCCTGCGACTCTGTGAGTGCCCACTATTTTCCAACTACTTGATTTTTAGCCCGTTCGAGTCCTGCTTACCGGCGCTGCTGGCCAAATCGGCTATTGTCTAGCGGGAATGGTTGCACGCGGCGATATGTTGGGACCCAACCAGGCAAGCTTTATTCTAACCACTACTCAGTGGATACTAGGAAATTATACTTCATTTGCTGGATATCCCTCCTATGCTAAGCTCCTTACAAGGTCTGCAGATGGAATTGCAAGATTGTGCTTTTCCCACGCTTAAGGAGGTCGTGATTACAGTCGAACCGGAGGTCGCTTTTAAAGATATTGATGTTGCATTGATGGTCGGTGCGATGCCGCGCAAGGAGGGGATGGAGCGAAAAGATTTGCTTAAAGCCAATGTTAACATCTTTAAACAGCAAGGAAAGCATCTTGATACGCTAGCCAAAAAGTCTGTTAAAGTTGTCGTTGTAGGCAACCCGGCTAACACCAATGCAATGGTCATGAGCATAAACGCTCCATCCATTCCTAAGGAAAATTTCAGTTGCCTCACGCGACTGGATCACAATCGTGCACTCTCTCAAGTAATGTTTTGCTACCTAGTGTTGAAACTTTTCTAGATTTCTATGCGTCTGGGTGTGTCGTGTACACACGTAAAAAATGCAATAATATGGGGGAACCACAGCAATACTCAATTTGCTGACGTAGCTCACGCAAAGGTTAAAGTTGGTGGTAAAGAACAAAGTGTGTACGCCGCAGTAAACGACGATGCATGGATAAAAAATGATTTTTTAAAAACCGTTCAATCTCGTGGAGCGGCTGTTATATCAGCTCGGAAGCTCAGCAGCGCACTATCGGCTGCTAAGGCAATAACGGATCATATGCATGACTGGTGGTTTGGAACCAAGCCGGTAGGATTCATTTGTCTAAATGTATTTTTCTAGGGCGAATGGGTTTCAATGGGCGTCATCAGTGACGGATCATATGGAGCACCCAAAGATGTTTTCTTCAGTTTCCCTGTCGAAATCAAGGATAAAAAGTGGAGTATCGTACAAAATCTCCCAATGGATGATTGGGCAAAATCAAAGTTCAAGATCACCGCGGACGAGTTAGTCCAAGAGCGAGAATCTGCCTTATCGGATTGAGCTTACTTTTAGTTCAATTATTCCATTACTGTCCCGGTTGTTGCCATTTAATTATGCACTATTCATTATGACATTAATATAACATATACTGCTTACTATTTGTCAATTTTGTGCCCAGTTCGGTTCAGTTTCACTTTACTGAGGTCGAATTCATTCCACACTTCCGTTATGGCTATTGTGATTCCCACGGCCTCGACACGATAACTGTTCGTGCATCCCTTCTACATCGATATGGCTTTTGTTAAACTTTCTGTCTATTTGCCACGTTTATTTAATCGTTAACTAGGTATTTTTGACATCGTCGTCGCAACGAGACTGGACCTTAACGTGGTGCGACGGTTTGCGTACCTCAATGACCCATTGAGCTATACTAGGTGATGCCTCCGAGCATCTTGAGAGCTACTCCTACCAGGTTGGTCACTGGTGAGAGGTCAAACAAACTCAGTCTCCTAGTCCTCCAGGTTGGGGGTTTGAAATGGGATGGCGTCCATTTCTGTAAAACTAAATCACTGCCACCACGCTGCCTTGCGGACAGGCTTTTGAGCCAAAGGCTTTGGATGAGGACCGTAATCGTTCTCCTGTCTAGGTCTGGGCGCCCTGGCAGTATCCCAGCCCACATACAACCATGACATTTTCTTCAAACATAAACTTCATCCTGCATCGGCCGTCGCGCAGATTATCAAGTGTCGCCTTATCTGCTGCATACAGCAGGGCGGATAAGCGAAAACATGCTACTGCTGGCGCCTCCCTTTCTTTTCCACCTTTTTCTCTTACTACCATCCCGGTCCCTATTACTAACCTTCCTTCCATAATTCCCAGCTTAATTGACAGCAACCGAAGTGCTACCGGAGTAGTACCATCTGCAGCCACCATCCCACAGCACCTATCGGACGCCTATCGGCAAAAGTCCCTTATAAGGCCACGCTGTCCCGTTTCCATGGCGACCTTCAACGTCCGCACTCTAAGACAAACAGGTCAGCAGGCTGCACTCGCACGCACCTTGGATACACTGGGTGTTAATGTGTGTTGTGTGTCCGAAACTAGGATTAATGACTCTAACGGGGTTATTGAATTGACTGCACCCGGCTTATCCTCTCGTTATTGGTTGCACGCATCTGGAGACGCCGATGCGGCACTCACGGGTCAAGCTGGTGTAGGTATCATTCTCAGCTGCAAGGCTGAGTCATCGTTGGTTGATTGGATTCCGGTGAACAGCCGTTTATGTGCAGCCCGTTTGACGACATCAGCTAAGGTGAATTCGCGAAGTAAAACAAAACGCTGTTTGTTTGTGATTTCTGCTTATGCTCCCACCGACTGCAGTTCTAATGCAGTCAAGGACACTTTCTATCACGAACTGAACACGCTGCTACGCAGTACTACTAGTTCAGATATTATAGTACTTGCAGGGGATATGAACGCACAAGTAGGGCGTCTGAGCTCTTCAGAAGCTCAGCTGGGTGGTAAATGTGGACTTAATGCCGAACGGACTGACAACGGCGAGCGTCTGCTGCAACTGTGTGCGGAGCACCAGTTGTTTCTTGCTAGCACTGCTTTTAGACACAGTGGGCGCCGAAGTGCCACTTGGCGTCCACCTGTAGCTGGCCAGCGATGGACCCAAATTGACCACATAGCCATAAGTTACAGGTGGCGCGGTTCCATTCTGGATTGCCGCTCGTACTGGAGTACTTGTGTCGACTCTGATCATGCCTTGGTGCGCTGTCGTTTCTCCATGAACTTTACCGGAAGGCGCACAAAGCGTCTCCCCCGATTGGCAACGGAGAAATTGTCCCAGCCCTCTGTCAGGCAAGGCTATCAAGAAGCACTGCATAGCGAACTCTCGCTGTCTTGTCCCAATGACACTGAACTTCAGTGGAATAGAATCTCGGCCGCTATGCACGACGCAGGAGCATCTGTTTGTGGCACTATCAGTCGTCACCGCACCAGTCACTGGATATCCGAGGTCCGTGAACCTTTTGGAAGCTAGAAGACACCTCCCGGCTGGTTCTGAACACAATGTGACCAGACGGGCTATTAGGCGTGAACTAAAGCGGAGCCTACGTGCTGACAAGGAAGCCTGATGGACCAGTCGGGCTCAAGAAATGGAGAAGGCAGGAGCAGTAGGCAATTACCGCAAGCTCTTCCAGCTAATCCGCACCACTGGTCCCAGAAAACCAGGCGTCAGTGAGACAATCAGGGACAGCGCGGGTGCGCTGATACACAATAAGGAGCGCCGTATGGCTCGTTGGGCTGAACACTTTGAAGATCAGTTCAGCTGGCCCCCTGCTTCTGGACCTCTTCCTACTCAGGTGATGCAGGACGTGCCATGGACGGTTAGTTTAGAGCCTCCGTCGGAGGCCGAGGTCCGAAACGCGATCACAGCCCTTAATCGTTTTCGTGCCGCTGGCCCGGATTCCCTCCCACCTGCACTATTTAAGGATGGAGGTGAGGTCCTCTGCAGGGCACTGACCTCCCTAATCGAACGTATCTGGAACGAACAGTGTGCCAGCTAATTGGAGCGAATCGATTATAGTGGCAATATACAAGAAGGGCAGTCGCACAGACTGTTCGAACCACAGAGGTATTAGCCTGACGCCAGTTGTGACAAAATTACTGGCCTCGATTATCGTTCGTCGCCTCACTGCAGAACGGGAATCTCGGATTAGGGAAGAGCAGGCCGGTTTTCGCCCAGGACGTGGCTGTATAGACCACATATTTACTTTGCGGCAGATGCTAGAGCAGCGCCACGCATACCGCAGACCGACAATAGCTGTGTTCCTCGACTTCAAGAGTGCGTTCGATTCAGTTGATCGATCGATTCTGTTCGAATTACTTGCGCGGAAAGGTGTTCCCACGAAATATGTGAACATTCTTCGTGCTCTATACTCGAACACTAGAGGCCGCGTCAGGGTCTATGGTGTCCTATCGGATAGCTTTTCGACTACAAGTGGCGTTCGTCAGGGTTGCCCGATTTCCCCGTTTTTGTTCAATTTCGTCGTGGATTCTATCATGGAGTGTTCCCTTGCGGAATCTCATGATGTAGGCGTTGAAGTGCTGCCTGGTGAAAGGTTAGTTGACCTAGATTATGCGGACGATATCGTCTTGCTTTTCGACAATGTTGAGGCAGCACAGTCAACCCTGAATAGCCTATCCAGAGTGGTCCCATTATTTGGTATGCACTTCGCACCTTCAAAGTGCAAGTGTTGCTGCAGGACCACCAGCCACTTGATGACCCCTTGACGCTTGCTAACGAGGAACTCGAGGTGGTTGATCAATTCACTTATCTTGGCAGCTGCATCAGCAATGATGGGCGCATAGAAACTGACGTGAGCTCACGCATTGCAAAGGCCAGAGCTGCCTTCTTGAACCTGCGGCATCTTTGGCGACAGAAGGGAGTTTCCCTCCGCCTGAAAGGCCGTGTATACAAGGCCACAGTGAGGGCCGTTCTGCTCTACGGTAGTGAAACTTGGCCCCTTCGGTCTGAAGATCTGAGGCGCCTTCAAATCTTTGATCATCGTTGTTTGCGAAGCATTGCTGGTGTCGGATGGCACCAGCGTGTCCGCAACGATGATGTGCGTAGGCGAGTACTAGGTGGTGATAATCATGCTAGCTCCCTAGAACAACAGATAGCATTGAATAAGTTGCGTTGGCTCGGGCACGTGCTACGTATGCCTGGTCACCGCTTACCTAGGAGGGCCTTGTTCAGTCTACCAGGTGTAGGATGGCGCAAGGCTCGAGGTGGACAGAAGTTGACTTGGCAGCGGGAAATGAAGTCACTGACAACTAAACTGGGTGCCGTTGGTCCGTCTCGCCTTCCAGGCTGGAGTCCACGTGACTCACCTTGTGCTTGGCTTGAGACTTTACAGGACATGGCTCGCAACCGACACCAGTGGCGCGTCTGCTGCCGTCTCCTAATCGGATTGTCTGTTTAAAGTGTGTTTGGTGCTGAGTTATCTGCGGGGTAATGGCTGATTATGACGCGGGGCAGTGAAAGCCGCAAGGAAGCTGTCTCGCCGATGCCGCCTTATCTTTGCACGATAGTCAGCTGTTTGTGACGGAATGTTGTCTACACAAGGTGTAGGCGCCTTGACCCTGAATGTTTGCTTAGGGCATTAAGGTTTTCAGGTAAGTCCCCCTTCTCTCCCTCTTCTTATTCTTTATTTCATAGGTCCTCATGGTTGTATGGCAGCGAAGCATCAGTTCAAATGGCTGATGTACTGCTGTTGATGATGATGATTTTTGACATGGTGGACTACTCGAGTTTGTGCCGACTAACCACTTTTTTGCCATACTGCTCGTCGGCTTGATTAATGCAACTCTAGTTTTATTTTCGTGCAACCGCTCCTAACCTTTTGGCCTGTCAGTCTTGATCCTCCAATTTTTACCCTGCTTACCAAACCACATTACTGTATGTATATAACACTTGCCCAGTAAACATTTGGCAGTGTGCCACAACACGAGTAACAATAACGAAAAGGTGGAGTTTCAGAAAAAGGGATACAAAGTCCCATGTGCTGTGTGGGCAGAGACCTTCCCGGTTGCCCAGGCAGAGGAAACGGGTTGACTTAGGGGGCCCCACCCCGAGCCTTTGGTCTTAAAGACCTGACCCACAAGGCAGCGTGACGATTCACGAAGACTGTTGACAGCCAGTTGGCTCATTCGCCTTCTTTGTGTTCGAGAGCAGTCCACAGAGGAGCCGGTGTTCATCCGCCCTCCGTTAGATATTCATCTCCGGTGAGTGGTCAGTAAACCTATAACTGATCACATTGGCACTTGTGATATTTAATGGAGAATCAGATGACCAGCCCAAAACTCCCCACCCTCTGCGACGCTGCCGCTGATTGTCCGCGACTGCTTATTCATCTCGTCTGCAAAGCAGACGATACTTATTCGCAGTTACCACAAGGAAGGCATTCCCCGATCCGCAACCTGAGGACGCGGCCGATAGCGTGCAGCTCCGCATCGCTACCCAGTTTTGTCATTTCTAGAGGATTAGGCGGCTTATCTCAGTCTTGCGTCGAAGGTCCGGAAACTCGTCAGTCGTATACTACCTGGCGCGCCCCGGGGAATACCTTTCTTGTGGAGGCAACTGTAATTCTG